TACAAGGCGATACAGAAATAGCTGCTATGCATGTTCGACTATATCTGCTTTTTACGACTCCTGTGCGCATCAGGCAGGCAGGCGCGGGCATTGCAAAACCGCCCAGTTGACGATAATAGCCGGATCGTAAAATAAACACGGCAGTGTGATTTATAACAGTTGTCAACAAGGAAAACTTAATTTTTTTAATTCTCCGTCTCGGACTTTGTATGCTACGACGTTATACCACATTAAGTACTATAGATAAGTAGTAGATGCCTTGTTATTACACTACTTCCGGGGGGAATTAGGAGTAATTATTTGAGCGAGAATAAACGAATTTGGTATGGAACGTAAAAAAATAATGGCAGTAAGACGCAAAATGCTGGAGAGCCGGGTTGTTGCAAATATCCGCGGATAATCTGCAACAATTAAAATATCTGCATCCACATACGCATTAATCGACGCTAATAGGTATTCATTGCGGATGTTCGACTCGCGACATGACCTAAAAGACACACTGGAATAATTCACAAACTTTCCAGAAACATACTGTAAGCCGAAAAAGCAGCTCATCTGTTGGTTTTAGAGTATAACTTTGATAAAATCTCACAATGATTAAGCTAGGCAGATTGATTGTTTTCATGCAGATTGAAAAAAAAAATTAATACAACATTAAACAAAGTAGAAAGCTTTTTCATGTAGATTCAGTAAGGATGTACATTATTCGCGTTTTTTTTAAATATATAAAATGAGCATCCGCTGATGTTAAGGCCAAAAAATCACCATCCGCTGTAAAAAAACCTGCATTAGGAACAACCCTAGTGGAGAGCCCCAACAGCCTACTGAGGACACTATCCAACAGACGGAAGCTCTGTCCTGCTTTGCAAAGGCTTCGGGTATCGGCTCTGATAAATCCTTGCGCTGAACGTGTGTTTATTAATTAATTTTTTGTATATTTATTATTTGTAAATGTCTTATAATGCGTGTTTTACGTTTTAGTTTATTTATTTAGTTACTTACGGAGGTGTAGGTTTTGTTTCTTGATTTATTGTGTAGTTTATACTAAGTACTAACACATCTATGGATGATTCTTGTTTTATTTTGTAGTTTATATTAAGTACTAACACATGTTGTGGTTTGACTAAATAAGAGTTTTAATACTTTTAAAATTGGTCTCGAGACCTTCTTGTATCCAGGATCCACATTGCAAAACACTGCACCACTGGGCCACTGCAATCGTCAGTATGTATATGATTTTATCAATTGTATATTCGATAACACTAGTTGTCCATTGATTCCATTTGTTGAAACAACAGTTTTAGTGTTTTTTTATGATACGAAGTGACGGGACGACCAAGGCGTGCGCCTGGTGATAAGCGACACGCCTGTGCATAGCAATTGCAGTGCCACTCAGAGCTTTAAATCGCAAGATCTGAAGGGCATTGCCACTGGGCCCGTCACCCTGATGCATAAGTTGACGGGTGCCATGTGCCTATAATTTCACACAAAAACCGGAACGCAGTAATGGTCATATTACTGCTTGTCGGCAAAAACAGGTAAGGTACTAATCGACTCAAAATAACATAGGTACATGTTTGCCAAGAAAAATATTTATCAAGACGCGTAAAAATCTAGATTCCCAATGCAAAATCTGCGCTTTCATGTTCTATTTAATAGAAAAATCTGTAAGAGATAAAGAAATGTACGGCATAGCATGATACAACAATTGTTTTAGGTTAGTATAAGAATCAGGTATGCGATACGTGTTTTAATGTAGATATTTCATTATCTGCTGTAGCACGTCATACGCAAGTTATCTGTGAGATAAGATTTCGAGAGCAGGAAGACTAAACATGTTTTAATCGATATGGTTGCAATAAACAGTGGAAAACAGATGGCCGTTTGATTTAAGGCTGACAGCCTTGGAATAAAATAAGGTGTCCAGTACACAGCTCCGTATTCACGTGGTACTTATTTTGAGCGCTTGCCTAATGGCGTTAAATAAACGTAATCGTAGTTTTTTTTTTATTATTTGATAGATATTTAGCCGCCAAAAATAAATAGCCGTAGCAGCCATGGTTCGACGTACCGCCTCTCAAGCATATTCCGTGGATTAGAATCCGGGGTCACACCTCTTTGTTTTTCAGCATTTATGAGCGAAATTTAATTAAAAATTTTAAAGGAAAACATCATGATAGAACCTGCACGTCGATAACGTATGAAGTCCATAACCCGCATTGGGCCAGATTAGCGAACTATGGCCCAAACCCTCGCATGGGAGGAGAACCGTGCCCGCCAGTGGGACGTATAAATGAGTTGATGGTGAAATATTTAGCAACACACGTATTATACCAATTTTAATTGCTATGAAGGTATTTTGTTTAAAACAATTGTTTAATCGATTTTGTGAAAATTCTTTTGACGTATACTATGGCAATGTGCATATTGAGATCGAAGTCTATGTATGAAAGAAATTTTATATCGTAAGCAATAGAAATGCTGTCTTTGGATTATGTTTTACCCTTTGTCATAGATGTTTTAAAATCAAAGATGACTTATCTATTGATATATTTTTATGAATGGGCCAAAGGCGGTGCGGGTTGCGTAGCGGCGAGTGGCAGGCGCATCGGAACGCGGACGAGATCGCTCGCTTAGCCGCTTTCCCGACTTTCCAGCAGCACGCCGCGCGCGCACCGGCAAATGCACTCCACCACTAACAAAACGTGCGCCCGCGTCGCTTAGCGGACACGATCATGCACACATCACTCTCCCACACCTCACACCCCTCGCACTCACTTTTCACTATCATTGCATAGCGCGATATGTGCAATTTTCTTTACAGGTACCTTTGCATATTTGTCAACTTATTACCACAGTGCAAGCAATTAATCAATATATTTTTATTTACTTTGAATTGCCGTTTGTACATTACAATAAAAATACAAGAAGTATAAGTTAGTGCACGTCACATTTTCATTTACAACAAAGAATATTTTCAATCATTCAAATAAATGGTATTGATTGACAGCGGTTGCTATCACAAATAAAATCAATACTGTTATCATGATAGAGCAATATCATCGCTACCTAATTGGCAGTACAGATAGAATTTGACAAACACATTGTTAATGAGTAATCGGATTAGAAATAATTATCAATTAATTTCATTAAGTTTGAGGGTTAATTGGATAAATATTAAAAGTCATTAATTTTAAAAGTCGATCGCAGAATAAATTAATCTTTAAATTGATTTGACATATTACATAGTGTGGAGTGTGCATCGCGTGCGGCATGCGGCACCGGCAAGGACATAGCAGGACGAGTCACCCGTCCTCCATGGTCGGCGTCATGCGCAGGTAGCGACCAGAGGACGACATGCCCATTGTTTATCGTCGCTAATTATTATGCTCCAACGCAGACGCTTGCCGACTGCCGCGCCGCGCGCCACTGCGCAAAAACTCGATACTGTATCGTCTACCTGAGGTTAAGACGAAAAGAGTTATTTTGGTTCCTCCCGTCATCAGATTTATTTTTCAAGACAACCTTGATTAGTCAAAAAATATTTGTCTAAGAGCGAGGCATACGTTCTTCGTTCGACAGTGCTCTACTTTGATGGTCAGCGATCGCGTAGTCGACAGTGAACAACTATCGCAGTCGCAGTATCGCGCTCGATTGAGGACCGTTACGTGAAAACGTCGCGCGCGCGGGGCGGGGCACTTGGGGCAAGAGCGCCCGCCGATATAGCGACAGTGGCGCCCGAGAGCGGCCGATCGGCGAGTGTCGAGACGACGACATACGAGCGGGGGACGCGGGGGTGCGCCACTTATCGCGGCGAGCTGGCAACGTCGCGCGGGGTGGGAGCGCCCCGCGCCGCAACCTCTCACTCACCGTCGCCGGCTCGCCAGCCGCCAGTGTTACCTTTGACGGTCGAACGTATGGTAGTTCGCTGTCAGTGACGTCGCTGCAGACGCTCGTGCAACACGTCTATGATGTTTCGGTGAATTCTAAGTCGGACTTATGTGTGAAGGATAAAATCGTATGATTGGAGTACAGTGACAGGTACAGATCACATCACCCTGGATTTTGGATTTTTTGATGGATTGTGAACAGTGAAATTCTGGATTTTCTGCTTATAAACAGTGAAGTGTACTTAAGAAAAAGATTGAAACTTAGTGTCAAACATTTTCAGATTTGAAAAAAATATTAACAAAGTGTATAGTGCAAGATTGCATTGAAGGCGAAGTGATTATAGTTAAAGTAAATAACAGTGCATTAGTTTTTGAATTGTTAGTTGATGAAAATTTGACAAGTTTGGGTAACATTTAATTTTCTGTACAAGAGTTTAAAAGTTTACAAAGAACTAAAAAAATTGTGGAAGTGTTTTTAAAATTATAGACTTGTCAAATCTTGATCGGCTAGCACATACCACCTGTCGTAAAATAGAGCACACGTTGGATTTTGCCTCAGCTGATTGGATTGTACGACGGAATCTTCGCTCGAAGCGTTCATCGTCGGGAAAATTATGAAAAAAAAAATGCTACATGTGAATAATGCTACGATAATGCAAGGAATTTTATCTGTGCTATATAATTAACGATAAATACTAAATGACGAGAAGTTAAAGATAAAATAAAATAGTTTAAAAATACCCTTGCATTATAATGAAGAAATAAATGATAGTAAAGAAATCCAAAAAATAGAACTACATAACTGAAATCACAAGTGATCGAATAAGAAGTGAAATGCATTCAGCAAATTTATGAAAAGGCGTTACGAGTTGCGATGAACGCTTCGACGCGTTGATTGTTGACGTTCGCTAACGAAACGAAAGGCTGGAGCAAAATTCACGCGCGACATACGATAACAGCAATCGACTATGTTCGCTTCTGACACGAGTACAACATTGGAAAAAAAAATTAAAATTATCAACAGCGAGATCAAATCTTTTACAAAACGAGTGACCATTTTATTTTGACTTGAACGTTTTCGAGCTACAAGGAGATCCCTCGTGTTTCAGGGGGTGTGCTTGGACCGACAGGACGGCGACCTCTGGCAGTGCAGCTGGATACGCGGGATACTTTATCAACAACACGGGAGCATACGCTCCCGATCCTGGCAAGAACAACCCTCTGCAAGGGACAATTGGATACAGGGCCAACACCCCTAGGTAAGTCGATAAATTTCTCAAGTGCAACAACTTTGAAATTAATGTTAGATAACGTTGAACAAGAGTCATGAGTGCAAGCAATCACAAAATTACATAATGGAAAACCATTACTAGTAAATATTATATTGTTCGACTACAAACTCACCCTATCTCACTCGTAATCCTTAAAAAAAGTGTTTTCTATCATAATTGTTAACGTTTTATACGTCAATAAATCATTTTACTGCAAGATGTATTTTTAATGTGGTGCGTAAAATTTTAAACGATTTTCTGATTTCAAATTTCGCGCCATATTGTTCCGCTAGCGTAATTATTGTTGTTGTGAGTACCTACCATTTAGTCCGTGAGCACCAGTAAAACGCTTCTGCATTATTATCAGTAACCAAAACGTATTGTACACGCAGGTACCACAGCATTTTATCTTATCCGGAACAAGTTTGTTTATATTACAACAAAACTCTGAAACGTGACTCGCTTACCTGTGCCACCTTATCGTAGTTAACAAGCAATAAAATCAAAAATTTACCGTCTGTACAAATACCTACGGCTGCGACATTCGTCATTCAACGCTCACAGTTCAATTTATTTAGCAATTAAAAAGTCAAGTTACACAGTACTGTATTAGTAGAATTTTCTAATTATGAATGTCCTTTATATAATGCAAAAATCGAATGTTTATATAATGGAATTGTTATTCGCCTAACGGAAGCCAAAATTAAATTTAAAAGTGTGTGACATCGGCGACCGCGCATCGCTGCAATTATAATGAAAAGAAATGTGCTCTTCCATTCACACGCACAAACGCCTCAGGGCACCCAGCACCCACACAAGCGCGCGCCATCGCACTCACACAGCTTTACCTTCACGCACACATGCGACTCTCACTCACACACCGCGCGGTGGGAATGCACGCGGTGACTGCACTTTAGCGCTTACAATAAACACAAACAAACAAAACATTAAACTAACCTCGTCGAGCGCATCCAATACTTCAATATCTCTTACTTTTGTCTATTTAAAATATGCGTGCGCATTCCATTAAAATTCGTAAGCGTCAAGTAAAATTATTTAATAATTACTTTAAACTAGGGTAATAATATGGATTATTATTATCATATAATTAATATAAACGAAAAAAATCGAGCAGGTGCTAAGTTAGGCGCTCAACGGCTTTGTTTTGTAGTCACCTTTACAAACGACATATTGTTGATGGCTGCGCCTGCGTCTATACAAAACCAATAAGTAAATAATAATAAAATGGGGGCCGGCAACGAGATTGTGTGAACACAGGAAGTCTACCGCACCTCAAGGGTAGAAGGACGGGAAATTAACGAACATTTTAACTAAACTCAAACGAGATTAGAAGACTAAAATAACAAGATAAATAGACAAGAAAATAGCAAAGTAAAAAGACAATTACCATTCTTAAAATTTCCATCTGTTTAATCAAATAATAAATTATCAATAATCAAGAGATGCTCTAAAACAAACACACAATAAAAATGTCAGCAGAATAAAAGAAAACAATCCAGCAACTTAAGAGATACCAACTAATGCAACTTAAAAGTTAATAAAATAAGAGATTTGTAGCGTTCCTTCGTAAGTAATCGTGGGAAAAAATGTCAGTTTACAACGACCGGCACTGGGGGCGGATGCACAGGCAGACGGGGCATTACACCACGTGCTCAAAGGGTCGAACAGATAATAAAAAAAAGACTTTGTACAGTGGTTAACACTGATTACACAGATGCTAACTGAGTTAATTAATTGTTTCTTAAAGAATAACTACGTAAACATGTTTTAATGGATGACAATAATCAAAGAATCACAAAATGGTACACGTAACTATTTGGAAATAATATCATCGCAGACAAACAAATTATTATCAGTAAGCGTCGTAATAAAACCCCATATTGACGTGAACGGGACCACTTACCCCAGCCGGGTGACGCGACGACCCTTCCTCATTGTGCCGTATTTACCCCGGAACGCTCGCCTCCATTTGTAACCCCCGGAATCCGCTCCTTAAATCATGATTCATCCTCTCCCCATCCCGGCGTCAATTGACGAGAATGAGATAGATATCGGAATATATAATCAGAGGAATATACACTTTATTATAAGAAATAACGATTGTGTCTAAACTAAAAGAATGGATTTTTTGCTGGAGAATAACAATGGAAAAGAATAAAATTCAAACTATTGCACAAATAAATAAACAAAGAAAAATCCCAAACATGATAATTGATATTACACCTAACTACAAAGTGCTATAACAAATATATCAAATCAAGAATATCAAAACGTTAATGCCATTATACGTGTGGCAATGTGCGCACAAGCCACAATGTGAAGTGACATTTAAATGGGGGTGACCAACTGTCGTCGAAACAGGGGTCGAACACGCCACGGCTTCACGCTGCCACGATAGTAATCTATACGAGACTCACAATTAATGCCTTATTTAACACTCTGTTTACAACAGACACTGTGCAACAAAATGCACTAATTAATCTGTGATCACTGTAACACGCTAATGCAAGAAAAATACAAACGTTTGAAACTAGCCACGACGAAACGTATAACGACGGAGCAAAATATAGTGGAAACCATTACCACGTGTACAAAAACAATTGCAAATGCTTAAACTCATATTAAGACATTGGAAAATTTAAAAGTAACGACCTTGCAGAAATTAACATATCTCCAGCCAACTAGGTACTCGTTGCATTTCTTAGCAAATTGATTCAATACGCGATTATCTACTCTGCCAATTAACTAGGAATCCGACACGTCTGCGTACCAATCTAAAATTAACTGCAGCCTATGTATCAAAATACCTACACGTTACTCGCACATCTCTCAATACTATGCCAAACACCTTCCAGCTTCTCAAAATAGCGACGCACTCATCTAAATTGATTTATTTAGGCGTTTCGTCAAAGAGCAGGCGAAGAACAGATTCGAGCAAACGTACACGTACAAGACTACTAAAAATCATCAAATCTATTAAAAACTGATGTCGATTACCATTCAGGGGATCTACTCTCGATCTCCGTCCGAAACAATTACTGTCAAATAAGTAATATTCGACAAAATTAAAAGACAAGTATCAAGTATGAAGCTTCTTTCGCAACACGCGGCTTTGCATTTGGTCAAGTATTGCTTATTTGGCAGTAATTGTTTCGGACGGATGTCGGACGGAGATCGAGAGTAGACCCCCTGAATTATTTTGCTGTACAGTAGACATCTTGTCTGTGTGTAAGTACAAACCTGTACCGAACGATAAAATTGTATAAAAAAAAAGGTTGTTCTAAGAACAGCCTCAAAAGAAATGCCTGCAACGACCGCTTGCATTCAAGATCCCAAATATTTTGAACAGGGCGTAAGTGATTATTCGGATGTGGTACCACTTTTACAAAAAGTGCAGCAGGATACAGAACACACAGATTTTTTGTCGACTAAACATTTTGGTCGGCGAAAAGAAAAAAGGTTCAGACAAAACTATAAAAAGAAGTGCAGGTCGGACCGAGTTTACCTAAGGAAGGACCCTTGTAAATCATCTGCACCATCGATGAATAGATGTGACGAGTTGAGCGTTGTTGACTCGTGTCTTTATTGGTTGTCGTCGCTGCTAAGTATCTGTTAAGCCATTTACGAGTATACTTAAGTAGTAGCTGTGGAAATCTCACAACCGATTGTTTATTATCAACAAATTTGTTCGACAAATTATCAAAAAAAGATTTGCCCATACAACGCATTAGAACGTGAGAATAAACGAAAAAACAAAATAAAAAACAATGCACCAGTATTTGCAACCGTATTAACACAATATCGAATGTTGCATGTATGCTAGTTCGTATTCATTAAAATAATTTCATAATAACAATACAAAGGGCCAATATTGTTGTGCACTACTACAAGCGCGATGTAACAATGGGTAGAGCGCGCACTGTTTGTCGTACATTTGTCGAATGGGAATTATTAGGAAGGGCTCCGCGAAGGCTCGGGAATTCGCCCCAAAAGCAGTTCACATGAATCGTTCACCCACTTCGGTACAAAACAAAAAATCACACACATCCCGAGAGAAACACAGGGGTAACAACGCGTCACTATTCGTCCATATTGATTTTTTCTCTCTTTGTTAGTAAAATAATAATCCCACATCATATATTAAAAAAAGATCTTACGTCTATACAATTTGGGTTGAATATCGAGTCTAGGTTTATTAATAATCGCAGCGTAACGTGTGGAATGGCCGGCTATGCAAGGCCTTGGCTTGCAATAGTATAGAAACCGCGTGTATCGTGAGTGAAATAAAATTAATGAAACCGATTTCACAATTAAAATTTATACACGCCTACAATTATGTGCATAATTAGTACTTCAAATCCGGCACAGTTAGTCTGGGATATGTAAAGAGAACCTTGATAGCAGGACACGCTATGTCACTAGCAATAGGGCTCTAGATTGCATGTGATTGAAGTGTCCCTAACATTTGTTGTGCAGCGGCTATGGGTGCGCCGGCGGTTCGGGCGCGATGAGCGGCGGCGGCGAGAACGCGCAGTTCGGCGCCACCGCCGCAATGGTCGCCGCGGCCACCACGGCCGCGATGCAGGACTCGCAGCCATTCTCGCAGGTAATAGCGAACACCATTAAACTTTTTTTTTAACAAATCCGTATTTCATTTAAGCACCTTTGCCTATGTTTCAATTCATCTATTTAATTTCAAACATCCCCTATTTCCAGATGCAAAACAACATGACTATGGGAAACCCCCAATACAATGCGATGAACGGCTATGGCCAGCAACGCAGCCACAACCCTGCGATGGCAGGCATGGGCATGGGGGGTAACGGAGGCATGAACGGCATGACCGGCATGGGGCAGATGGGCAACGCGGGCATGAATGGCATGAACCCCATGGCTCAGATGGCCAACATGGGTATGCATGCCAATATGATGCAGTCACAAATGGGCCCTGGACAAATGGGCGGCTCGGCAAAAATGGGCCCAGGCTACCCGCGACGGCATACGCCTTACCCTCAAGGAACGATGCTCATGAATCAGCGGAAGGCACAGTACATGGGCGGCCAACCTGGATTCGGCCCTCAGCAATATCCCACTGCAGGGTATGGCGGCCGACCTGGGTTTCAGGGTCAATATCCTCCCCAGCAGCCATTGGGGCCTAGTGGCAATTTTGGACCCGCAATGCGAGGAAATATGAGACAATCCACGCCTCCGTATTCGAACCAGGGTCAGTATTTTAATGGCGGTGTGCCTGCGCAATTCCCTCAGCACCAAGGTAGCAATGCCCAATATGGTGGTCAGTACAGCGGGCAATTTGCTCAGGACGTTGCCATGCGGACGAATATGAGCTACCAGCATAGCCCAGTTCCTGGGAATCCCACTCCGCCTTTGACGCCAGCAAGCAGTATGCCGCCATACATAAGTCCAAACGCCGACGTAAAACCCCACTTCAATGAGCTCAAACCACCGATGGGCATGCAAAGTAAGTTTACAAAACTAAATAGTCGCGTGGATTACTTGTTCTTCCCTATTGAGACAAAAAATCTAATTCTATGTTTCGTTATTTTCAGATGACGAGCTCCGGTTAACATTCCCTGTAAGAGATGGTATCATACTACCACCATTTAGATTAGAACATAATTTAGCAGTTAGCAATCACGTATTCCAATTAAAACCCACGGTCCACTCAACGTTAATATGGAGGTAATTATCACTTACAGTTTCCTACTCCTAGGTAAACTAATAATTAAATGCTTGTCATTTACCCTAGCATGATTTGCACTTTGAACTTAACTATGAAACATGTTTGAGTAAGTTGTTTACAATTCGATTCTACAATTGTAGGTCGGATCTTGAGTTACAACTGAAATGCTTCCATCACGAAGATCGGCAAATGAACACGAACTGGCCAGCGAGTGTTCAAGTATCAGTCAATGCTACCCCATTAGTCATAGATAGAGGCGAGAACAAAAATTCACACAAACCACTGTACCTGAAAGAAGTGTGCCAACCAGGCAGAAATACGATACAGATCACCGTCTCCGCCTGCTGTTGTGTAAGTGTAATTGTATAATTTACTTTCAAATTTCGATACCCCCAATGAATTCCACACCACTACGCTAACCTTATTTTTGTTCATTTTCTGTAATTTTTGTAAACATCCGTAAGTATTTATGTACTAATATTATGCTCCCTAAATTTTGTGGGAAAATAACATAAAGAAACCAAAAACAAAATTCGAAAAAGAAGTTGTGAAGAAAAGGAAATAAAAAACAAATAAAAACAGAACGGGAATTAAGAAAGAAATAATCAAAAATTAAGTTGGCGTAGTGTTCATTAGTGGTATCGATTTATTAATCGTCAATTCAAACACTTGTTCCAATATAAATATCGAGTTCGCATTGCCTTTGTTTTAATGTAACAACAATTGAATCTTTTTCCATTTTTTGTTTATAGTCGCACTTGTTCGTGCTTCAACTGGTCCACCGACCGAGCGTTCGAAGTGTCCTCCAAGGGTTGCTGAAGAAGCGCTTGTTGACAGCAGACCACTGCATTGCCAAGATCAAGATGAACTTCAACCAATCGCCAGCAAACAGCAATAATGGCTCAAACAACACGAGCGACAGAGAAAGCGTCGAACAAACTGCGTTAAAAGTCTCATTAAAATGTCCCATTACTTTCAAGAAAATAACATTACCTGCTCGTGGACATGAATGTAAACACATACAGTGCTTCGACTTAGAATCGTACCTACAACTCAACTGTGAACGAGGATCGTGGCGATGTCCAGTGTGCAAGTGAGTATTATACTTGCAAATTAACCCTCATTAACTTGATTGTATTCATCATTATATTCTAGTATCATTGACATTATTATAATGAACATTTCCGTAATTACAGCAAGCCAGCACAACTAGAGGGCTTAGAAGTTGACCAGTATATGTGGGGTATCCTAAACACGTTGAACACTTCAGATGTTGACGAAGTGACCATCGACAGTGGAGCTAATTGGAAGGCAGCTAAGAGCCCCTCAAATCCTGGTATCAAGGTTAGTACAGTAAACGATTCAATGTAGACAATAAGGAATTTTGAACTACGTTTTTCTGACACGGAAATTTATTTATAGCAAGAAGACGATAGCAACGACAACAACGGAAAGAGAGGCAAAGCAGTGTCTCCTGGATCCATGAACATGCCAACAATGAACAACTGGGATATGAACCAAGCATTATCACCATACCTTCCTCCTGATATGCACACGATTGCCAGCGGTTCTATGATTAGTTCCTATAACCAAAGCTCGCAGAATAGGAACTCGGGCAATGCGAATCCGAACTACGATTTTGGCATGAACAATGGACCTGGAAGCAACGAATTTGCTGGCAACGGTCCTCTGTCACACCTGAATGACAGTGTTAACTCCTTAGATCCACTCAATGCGATGGAGAAGATCAATGAACAGGTAATTCAAATGACAGGATCATTGACTTTTTTATTACAGATCTTTTAGACTTTTGATTATACCATCAACTCGTAATTTTATCTTCAGATGCCACACACGCCACATACGCCTCATACACCTGGTTCTGCGCACACGCCGGGCGGCGGCGGCGCCACTCCTGGCTCCAGTCATACACCAGGCCCACCGTCCGTTGGACACCACTCTCTCAATGAGGTCGACATTCCTAGTGACCTCAACTTTGACCCGGCGGCCGTTATAGATGGCGAGGGAACCGATAACCTCAACGTGAGTTTCGTAGCTTTTTCCATTTTTTTGCTCTATGAAAGATAAATATGTACTGTCTAAAGTTATTAGGCAGCATACGGTTCATTTCAATGTAGATTAACAAGTGTTGTGTCTGTACAGTTGTTGCCAGAGACGAGTGTAGATCCCATGGAGCTGCTCTCGTACTTGGACACCCCAGCGCTCGGCGAGCTGCTCGCCACGCCCCCTTCCTCGTCGTCATCGGCAGGGTCCCACCCCCCGCGAGCGCCTTCCTCCGACGATCTCCTCGCGCTCTTCGAATGAACAAAGCGTGAGATAGGAATGCGCAATGTCAATACCTAATCGTAACACACTCCGCTAATTAAATCTTTCAACAAGTCACAAAACGGAATTTTCCAGAAATCACTGTTTAAATGAAAAGCGATAAGCGTATTACGATAAGGTCTTGAGATTCGTTTATCAGGACGCCTAACGAGGCGTGGAAAAAACTCGCATTCGAGCCAGCGAAGCCCGACATTGTGATACTAGATTTTAGTTCATTCTCCATTCGTGTTGATATTGAGTATGGCGGGGTATGAGCGACGCTTTGTTCCGTGGGGCCATGAGAGAATCTCTGTAAGTTAAGGGCCGTGCTGTAGTCAGTCCGCGGTGGTCAATATCAAGCGCAAGGCATCTATTGTCGAAACAATGATGCTGGGGATAAATAGGTTATAGGTAAAGTATTGAGGCGGAGGCGTGTGCCGCGCCGGCCATACACACTGCGGTGTTGTGCATGTATAGTTCCTCGCACCACCGCACTACGGTGGCGCTATTGAGCTCCCAAAATTCTAAACTCTAGCATAAACTGTAACACAAATCTTTCGACTTCTTACTCAATTCCAATATACTTAATCAATTAGAGTTTTGATTGTGTCCGTCGTGACGATTTACCGGTGTATATAAAGAGGATTTTCTTTATTTGTGCTAGTGGTTTTGGTAATGTGGGCACGTCGCTGCGCCGCCTGTACATATAGAGTAGCGCGCCGCGACCGCTCGGAGGCATTATGAATCTTATAGTTCCTATTGGATGCGAGCGAACTATAATGTTCAATTGCCATTAAGTGTAAAATATTCCTTGAAGTTTTCGCATATTCTGCATTTTTAAATGGTAAGATATGATAGGATTCGTGAGTATAGTGCTACTCGCTTATTGGGTGATATATTCTAAATGAGTTGTTTGAAATCAACAAATAAATGGTAACAAATTAGTTACAAAACTATATTGTAAATGTGAGTGCAAAAAATGAACTCTGTTAAATTATTTTGCGTTATGTGAATCGAAGAATGATAGAAATATATTTTAATTTCTATATAAATAGTAACGAACTGTATTATTTGTAAATATGAATTTAATTAAGAATATTATATTACCTAGTTATATTTAGGAGAACATGGCAGATACTTATATGACGGCCAGTTTAGTATAGTATTACTAAATTTAAAAAATCTACACATGGTTTTACATGTAAATACAAAGTACCATAATACAAGAATACCGAAGCGTGAAGAGTGCAGACGCAGAAGAAGACAGTGCTTTAGTGAAAATTATATTTAGCGAAAATTTAAGATCCCAACGACAATTAATAAAACTTTTGTATTTAATTTTATAGTTTTAAAATCGAGCCCTACCCACCGTCTACAGTAAAATTTCTCAAGAATGAAATTCTAAACTTTTAATTACATTACAACAAATCGAAGAATTTATCCGCCTTATTTATAATTAGACAATGAAACAATAACATTCTGTGCTCTGTGCTCTCATGCTTTTCTCTATGGAACAGAAACCAACACTCATATACATAATGTATTATAAAATTATGTTCTGGCTCTATGCTCATCTTAATTTTATTTCATTTTTTTTCTTCCAATTTTCAGATAGTACTTAATACTTGCTCCGAAAGCAATAAGAACACCGTGGTAGTTCAATAAAGATGTTTGTATCGTTGAAATTTGTTCAAAATAAGTAAATTGTTACGTATTTTTAGCCAATTGTAAAGTTTAAGGAATACAAATTGTGATGAGCATTGAATTGACAAAATCTTATTTCACATATTTTCAAATGTCCAGATTACTTTTTGACGTCTTAGCGCAGCATATTTGAAACTTAATAGTGACTTAATTTTACTTAATTTTTATTAACTTAATTTTTGATGTTTTAAATGCGGCGCGAGATGTTCAACAATTGTGGAAATTTCTAAATGGAATTAAGTTCCCATAAGTTCTCGAATCATACTTCGTTTAGATGTTGTCAAGTTTTCAGAGGTAACTTACTGTAAATTTTTAATAACAGTTTATTAAATATCTCTAACTTAGAGTTGTATGTAAAACTGTCAATCTTTCACTAACTTATGTAAAAATCGGTGAATTGCGCATCTTTTCTTCATGCTATGAATATGGACGCCTCTTAGAGTTAGTCGCCTGGTACGGAAAACAATAAAATTAGTATTATTCAAAGTCGTGGTCAATTATTCAAACAAATGGAGAGTTGTTATCAATTATTGTTATTGCGAAAGTTCACAATGCCAGTCAGGTTTACGGAGTGATTGTGTGTCTAGTTGATCACAGCTTTAATATATATTACATACTTTAAGGGACCTTCAATTCCAGTTAGCTAGTTCTATTTATTGTAGTGAGTAACGCTGCCGGGTGGATCGTCAAGAGATTTTTGTGTGACCAAATAGTACTTTTTTACGCATTTACCTGTATTAGGTAATAAACGAATTTGTTTGTAATAAAATGAAAAAATATCACAAAAAATGTATAGCATATCACGATTCAAAAAAAAAGAAAACAAAAATCGGAAAGGATGGTGCACCCGCGCGAGTAAATGATTACAATATATTTTGTTGAATATTATAATGAAATGCTGTGGAGTATACTAGATTTTGTGCTCGTACAAACTTAAAAAGCATTTGGAAATAAGTGAAAGAATGATTCTAAAATAAGGCAATACGCAACCCATGACTTGCAGACGATGCAGCCCAACTGTACTATAGTTATAAATTTTGACTTATTGTGATCATTTTAGCAATCTGGTTGGTACCCACTGAAATTAATTTCTAAACGTGTAAAATGGAAAAAAAACATAACATTTTTATGTTATTGAAAATAAAACGAAGCTAAAAATTATTTTATGATTTTTATTTATTCATTAAAACCTGTAGAGTAAGGAATCATTGGTTAACATTTTAACAATTCGATAAACAAAATTTCGAATCTTTATTATCGTACACCAGTACAAAAGACTTCAACTAGGACGTTGCTGTCAGTTCAGAAGTTCATAAATGTAGTTAATCAAAGTAAATAATTTGGTGTAAGTGGTCATCGTGATAATAGTTATGTTATTTATACGTATATATGCCAATAGAATGGATATCGAAGTATTCTGACACTCGTGCGCAGTAATTTTAGTTGAACTATACATAATATGTATAACCCCATAACACTAATTTCCAAAATATAAAGGAGAGTGATGTTTACGTATTACATAAAAACAGTGTCTGTCAGGATGGCTGGACCAAACGAGACATGCAAATGAAACTGCTCATTATTTACTATCTATTTTCTACTATTTAGTACCTTTATCAACATATTTTCTACCTTTGCGCTAACGGAAATATTAAAGAAATAAAGTGGCCAGCCATTCTGACGTCAGGTTGGCTGGACCTCTACGTTTTTCATGGTTCTAGCAGTATATAATTTGCTTTTTTTTATATAACCATTTATTACCTAATTTCTACCTTTTTTTTCACTATTCTAAAAAGCTTCTATAAAAAGTTATCTGAAAAAATAAATAAAACGCATTTGAAAAAGGTATCTTCTAACAAGACACTTTATCTTCTCCGTGTCTCCAGCTTGAGCATCGGGAAGTGAGTGTGCCTACAGCTCCGCCACCAAAATGGATATTTGGTAGTGGACTTTAGAATCAACTGCTTAGCGGTGGCAACCATTAGTTGCGCAATGCGCAACGGGAAGTGACGTGCCTACAGCTCCGATACTTATCTGGAAAATAGGGAGAGTGATGTACTTACACCCGGGGCAGTTTACCCAAGGCACTACTAGCCTTTTGAGTGTGCAAACAGGCTGATCTGGGGCCAGGACCTAACTGAGAAGATCTCGTTGCTTGCACAGGCCTATTACAACACTTAACAAAAATTGATTATAAACTTGACATAAACCATACTTTGAACGGTCTTACTACCTTTCTTAAATCACTAAACTTAAAAAGAAATAATTCTAAAACAAAACATATACAGTTTGGTAATTATAAAAAAGGAGATATAGATTTACAAATAACCTGTGAAAATAATGTTATCGATGAGGTACAGCAAATGAAATTTCTTGGAATTACCATATATAAAAATTTAAGTTGGAAGCATCACACAGATGTGCTAAATAGCAAACTTTGTAGTTATTGTTACGCTCTATCTGTATTAGTTGATGTAGCGTCAGTTGAAGTTGATATAAACGCGTATAATGGGAACATACCCGTTACTAATGTATGGTAATATTTTCTGGGGAAACTCAATCGATGCAGTTAAAACATTCACAATACAAAAACGGTGTTTGCGTATAATCTATAGATAAACCTAGTGATTATTCCCTCAGAAATCTGTACAAAGAAAAGGGTTTCCTGACGTTAGCAGGAATATACATTTTACAAATATGCGTCTTTGTACGTACGTAATCACAGTAACTTTTTTGCCAAAATATCAAATGTACTCTCCGGTAACGTAAGGAACAGGGACCGTCTTATACTCGCTGTAATAAAAAGCACGATCTTTGACCATAGCACTTATGTAACGGCAATAAAAATTATAACAGAATCCCGATTGACATTATAAACTGAAATGGTAATCAATTCAAGGATCATTTAAAGAAATGGCAAAATGACAATGTTTTCTATAGTTTAAGAGAATTTTATATAGTGACATGAAATATTTGACAAAATATGTGTATCATGTTTAATTCAATTTTATTTTTTATCAATTTTATCTTAATTGAATTTTAATGACTAATTTTAAGACCTTGTACGCCCGATTTGGGTAAGAACTGGAAAACAAATTTATGCATACATATATAACTAACGTGAAGCGGCTTACGATACACCAGTGTCGTGATTTGAGAATACTTTCCACTCTTTACTCTATCATTAATGATAAATGTGCACCTGGATATTTGAAATGTAAATTTAAATATTTAGGTGCATCCCATTATCGCAATCTTCGCTCAGACAGCAAATTGACTCTTAATTCTTTCTCACCGTACTGGTTTTCTTTCCAACTCATTTACTCTTCAGGCATTACGACTCTGGAACGCTACTCTCTACCGCCCCATATTCAAAAGCGCCGAATAAACTAGCTTTCAAGCAATTAGTCCGCGATTTCATATTGGAGTCTCAATCTACATCCCATTAGTCTGACATTGTTATATATAAATATGTATATTAAATATATGTGTGTATGTATTATATATTATGTGTTTCTGTATATATGAGTTGCTTATATATGCTATATTTATATTGTGTTTAAACTATATATCATAATTATTTATAAACTTCTTCCTATCTGTTTTAATTATCATGTTATGCACTCCAGTAAATTATTTTGAACCCAGCTCTCCGGTTGACTGGCAAAGAATGCCTAATGGCATTAAGTCCGCCATTTGTACTATTTTGTGTGCAATTAAGTTTAAATAAATAAATAAAATAACGTCTTAATCTACCAATTCCTCAGATTACAAAACTTTTGTAATCTGAGACCAGTTCGTATAATAAATGTTTCCGATTTCAGATTTCTGATTGCCCTTCTCGTATAGATTCGTATTCGTTCCGTATCCAAGACTAGAAAACTCGGACCCATTTCAGATGTCGCTTGCGCACTATGGCTCAACTCACATTGGCGCGGAGGCGAAGCGTCGCGACGCGTCATGTTTTTCGCTTATAGCATATTCATCTCTACTTTCCCACGCTTCGACTCTGCGCCAGTGAGTTGAGCCTAAGTCCGACTCAAAATTATCGTGACGTTTACATTATCGTCATTTCTTGGATTCGGAACTGCGGGTCTAAAACAATAACTGCCAAATAAGCATTACTCGACTAAATCAAAAAACAATGTCTAGTATGAAGCTTCATTCACATCATGCTTCTTTTAATTTGGTCGAGTATTACTCATTTGATAGTAATTATTTCGGACGGATGTGGAGGAGGAGGAAGGGTCGGTAAGGAGGGTCACTATAATCAAAACTTATGTAGAAAGGAATGAGTGGTGTTCCGACTGTGAAACGAATGATGAGGACTTGCC